TAACGGATTTATAAGGAGAGATTAAATATTTCTTTGACCAAATAAGGTACCCAAGCTTATCCATATACTATAGACTCTTTAGATTATTACTTGAACACTACCTTCTTGTATGTCAGCCATATACTAGACATGATTACATTAATGACCTTGGATTTTCATACCATCGATAATATTAAATTATAAATAAAATAATAGAAATTATTATTAAAAATTAAATAATTAATTACGAGGCTCTATGACATAAATTCCAATAGTAAGGCTCTATGACATAAATTCCAATAGTAAGGCAACCTATATAGTGGATTATTGGGCTCAGCTATATGTGAAAGAGATTGTAAGGCTGTATGGGTTTCCATTGTTCATATTGTCGGATCGAAACCCACGCTTTACATCAACATTTTGGCGCAGACTCTAGAAAGTGTTTGGTACTCGCCTCAACTTTAGCATTGCCTTCCATCCTCAAATATCGCGTTTGAATCATATTTTAGAATATATGTTATGCGCATGTGTATTTGACTTTACTGGGAGCTGGGACACCAAACTACATTTGATGGAATTCGCATACAACAATAGTTTTCAGGCAATCATTGGAATGACACAATTCAAAGTGTTATATGGGAAGCGGTGCGGTCCCCATATAACATGAACTGATGGGGACAGAGATAGTCCGAGTTACCAATGAGTCTGTCCACAAGATCAGGGCAAGGATGCAAATGTGAGGTGTAGAACTTTGGAATTTGAAGTAGGGGACATGGTATTCTTGAGAGTGACTTCAATGAAAGATGTCTTGAGATGTAGGGCTAAAGGAAGCTAAGTTCTCGATTCATTGGACCCTACCACCCTCCCACTCAAGTGTACATGATGTATTCCATGTGTCAAGAAAATATATAATAGACTCTAGTCACGTGATATACTGTAAGCTCCTTTAGATGGATGAGAACTTGAGTTATGAGGATAAAACCTATAAGATGGATGAGAACTTGAGTTATGAGGATAAAACCTATAAGGATTTTGGCTCGTGAAGTGAAAGCCTTATGCACAAGGAATATTGTCTTTGTTAAAGTAACGTGGGGAAACCATCAAACAATAGAAGCCATGTGGGAACAAGAAGATGAGATAAAAGAGAAAAATATCTCAGAGTTGATACAAGAATTTGACACTTTTGATAATGAAAGTTTTTTTTTAAGGATATATAATGTAACAATTCAAAAAAATAAAAATAAATACTCTGCCATTGAAAAACACGAAATTTCTGGCGAGGCACCAAAGATCGTGTCTTTGCCCATGACTCCTAGAAAACTCCCCACGCACCACCCTTCCTCCAGAACTCACTTGCAAGTTAAGAGAGTAATATACTGAGAGAGAATGGAAACCATTGAAAAACACGAAATTTCTGGCGAGGCACCAAAGATCGTGTCTTTGCCCATGACTCCTAGAAAACTCCCCACGCACCGCCCTTCCTCCAGAACTCACTTGCAAGTTAAGAGAGTAATATACTGAGAGAGAATGGAAAACAAACGATTTTCGTTTTTTCGTTTCCTCGTGTTAGAGGAACACTACTCTCCACAATGGTATGATATTGTCCACTTTGAGCCTAAGCTCTCATGGCTTTGCTTTGGGCTTCCCAAAAGGCCTCATTCCAATGGAGTTAGTATTCTTCACTTATAAACCCATGATCAATCCCTAAATTAGCCGATGTGGGACTTTCATCATCCAATACCTCGGAGTGCAACCCCGTGACATCTTTGTTCGCACTTTTTGTTCAACAAAGCTATCCTCGGCGTAGGAGAGATGACCACCAAACCTAAGTGCACCACGGTAAGTCATTCACGCTCCACACTGCTACGTCGTGTTCTATTTCGTTGCCGATAAACTTGAGTTCATGTAAAGCTAGATGTCAATAAATTTACATTATAGGAATGCACAAGGCACTACGACGTCGTGGGGGTGGAAAAAGAGTAAAACGACGATGGGAAGAAGAATACAAAGGTGGTCTGAAGAAGAGTATAGAGGCGGCGACGGCGGAAGGAGAAGTTGGACGGAGGAAATTAGGGTTGCAACTGTCAGGTGAAGGAGAAGAAGTCCATTGGACTCGGATCTGGTTCGAATACCCTTCTACATCAACCCATAATCACAGCCTAGTGATGTAACCTGCGGTCTGAACTAAAATAGCCTCAAAGCCCGGTCGACTCGACCCAAACACTCACAGTCACGACCCATCTGCCTATCGCCACTCTGCCCACAGCCATCACGCGCGATCCGCGACCTACGATGCCTTAACCCGACCCGAAGTTTATGCCTTGACCTAAATTGTGGCTCACGCTCGCGTTAGCTCACCACCGCCACGTGTCTTGTCCTCAACGATAGACTCACTCGACTTGGCTCGGCTTCCTAGCTAAAAATTCAGCTATTTGGCTTTGGACTCGAAATTGGACACTATTCCCTATGTTTTGAACTATCCTAGAGCTGATTTTGACCTTATTTAAGGCAATTAAGATCGATAAGATTCATTTTTCTTAGTTTCAAATTAAATCCTAAGATTATTGAGCAAATATTCAAATAAGTGAAGTCTCGACATAAGTAAGAAAGAACTTGAAGGATGAAGGCAAACTAAGTTAGAAAGAGAATGCTCACTAAAGTCATCCTAGTAAGTGGCCTTACTATTGACATGGTTAGAAGTTGTGTTATGCATGATGACATGTGTCCAATGACTACATGTCATATGTTTCATACATGTGATGTGTTTATGATATAATATGACTATGAGATGACATGTTTGATGATATGATGCATGTTATGTTTTATGATATGATGTGTGTGATCATATGGTATGTCGAAGGATATGATATGTACATGAATGATACACAACAAAATGTTTTGACACGATACACAACCCCGAGAAATGTTTTAAAAATATGTTATAAAATGATATGATAGGAAGAACAATGGGAAGAGTTGTCTCACATGATTTAGTTAATGGGAAAATTGTTGGAACCTCATGCATTATTGTATGTCACATGCATTGAGATATTTTCTCCTTATGATGAGTATGGACGCGTACATTATGAAAAGGAAAATGATCGTCATATTTAACATGATGCTAACGTTCACTACTACTTTCGGCTGTCCGACAACAGCACCAGAGAGCGCTAGCCTGACCATAACAAGTCCCAGGTGGTGTGTGAACCGACTGGTGGGTCCATATTCGCACGTATGGGTTGTGTATAGAATAGTAAATACACATCCAATGACTCGGTTATGATAGGTCACATTCATGTTGCATGTCTTTGCATTTCCTAATCCCAATAATAGTGTCTGTCGCTTACTAAGTATTTCTTATAATACTCAATTTACATGCTACTTCTATATTTCAGGTAAAGGCAAGGCACCTCTGAACGATTGCGGTGGCATAACAAATTTAAAAACCATGACATGTGCATAGGATAGTCACATTTAATTTCGTAGAGTTTAGGTTAACATAGGATAATGTTGTTTTATTTTTACTTATGTCTATTTTAATTTTTCCATTATATTGTTTTAAGATCTTTTTCTTAAACATGTAAGTCAAGAACATTATTTTATGAAGATTCTTTAAATGAATATTTTCGCACAAAATATCATGCATGTGGTAGTGACTTTAGGTTAGGAGAAAACTAGGGTCGTTACACATGGCCTCAGCCTCTAACCACGTCCAACACTCGAGCTTATGCTCAAAGTGGACAATATCATACCATTGTGGGGAGTGGTGTTCGTCTAACAAAGTGGCCAGGGGGACTTATGCTCAAAGTCGTATTCTTAGATTATAAACCCATGATCATTCCCTAAATTAACCGATGTGGGACTTTCATCATCCAACACCTCCCCTCGAACAAAGCACGCCTCCCCTTAATCGTTCCCTAAATTAACCGATGTGGGACTTTCATCATCCAACACCTCCCCTCGAACAAAGCACGCCTCCCCTTAATCGAGGCTTGACTCCTTTGGAGTCTTAGTCATTTTTTACTGCCTTCGTACCTTCAAGGAGGCTTGACTCCTTTTTGGAGTCCTTTGTTCGACATTTGAGGATTTGCCAATCTATTGGCACGGCTAAGTTTAGGGCATGGCTCTGATACCATGTTAGACGAACACGACTCTCCACAATTGTATGATAGGATTTGTCAATCTATTGGCACGGCTAAGTTTAGGGCATGGCTCTGATACCATGTTAGACGAACACGACTCTCCACAATGGTATGATATTGTCCACTTTGAGCATAAGCTCTCATGGCTTTGCTTTGGGCTTCCCAAAAGGCCTCAAACCAATGGAGTTAGTATTCCTCACTTATAAACCCATGATCATTCTCTAAATTAGCCGATGTGGGACTTTCATCATCCAACAAGAAGTACTCACCCTAAACCAACTACCTATATAGTTTCAAGTCTCTTCTCAAGACCAATATACAAAATTGTACCGTTAACCTTGACCCGTTTCTACACTCAATAGAGTACTCGTGATTTGAATCAAGTTGCAATACTAATAGTCTTATAAAATTCTAACCTTTTTTTATCATGGATCCATATGGCTGTAGCACTAAAATAATATCATCAAACCTTTTTTACAAATATGATATTGTGAAAGGAAAAAAAAAATAAATAAATAAAAAGTGGGAACCACCACAAGATAATACTAAATAATAAATTAATAAAAAAGCACCTCCATGATACTGCCACGTGGAACCCACATCAAACCTTGAATGGATAACCACACAGCAGATGAGATCATCATCATTTTCAGACCCCAAAAAAAAAAAAAAAAAAAAAAAAAAAA